ACAATACGTAGAAAATAGTTTTTAGGTAAATTGCTTGACCTGGTTTTTCATTCAGGCTCAAATAAATAGATCCATGGTACGCTTTATGCAAATGAAGCGTCAATATGGCAAGTCATATAATTGATTAAGAAAATATTTTGCTAGACATGCGTTTGCACCATGGTAATATGTTGGTAGGTTAATGGTTCATAGGCACGGCTACCTATTGTTACCATACTTTCATCAATACTTATAATAAACCTTTTTTTTTGGTATAGGAACGTTGGTAAATCGCAAGTACGCTGGTACGGACGCCGGTACGCGCCGCCCATGGATACCCACAACATCAAAAGAGTTACGAGTGCGATGTAGGCCTTTTAGGGATAAGGGCCTTAACACGACAAAAAAGTATTATAAGTATGATTTAGCATTTGCGTCGTGCGTTTGTTAGAACCAGCTAAATTTCGTAATATTCACTAGCTTTTGTCTGAATGAGGCACCGCGACCTCGGCCGGCAGGCAGAGCAGGAGAAGGAACAGGCGGGTTTTTAGTCAGTAAGAGACTGACACTCCCTCCCGCCCGGCCCTGGGCGGGAGAAGTAATTTGATGATTTTCCCCTCCTAAAAAAACCAGTCCATAGCAACCCATACCCATTTACAACATTTCGCAATAGTCCTCCATCAACCGGGGATTGTCCTTGGGTGCACTTTCATAGTGCATACAGGGATCATTGCCGGCTGATGTCTCATTTTACTAATTTTAAATTTGTTCAAAGGGCCTCTGTGAGTTGGCTTCGGCCCCTCGTACGCCTTCCAAAAGTCTGGGACCCTGTGGTCCCGTGAGTGGAAAGGAACATAGATAATACTACCTAACCTTATAATATTATAAAGGATGGAACTGCATATCGCAATTTTTTAATAAAATTTTTCGAAGTCCAATTGTGAGACTGCAATAATCCAGTTGCCGTCTGACAGTCATAAAACTAACGTTCAAGTTTCCAGAGAAGTTCTATGAAGTAATGAAATTGAACATGAAATGAGGAATTCCTTGAGGAACGTCAATCCGTGCAAATGAAGCCGCTTGTTCTCTTAATTATAATTATACTAAGTACTTACTTCGTTAAAGGGGTTTTAAGTTCACGACTGTTATTTGCCATCAGGATTTATAGCGACGTATCTAGATTGTTAGTATTTGTATTTTCAATAACATTTATAGTCCATTAAGAACTGACTGCATGGTTGGCGCGGTGGCTGGGCAACTATGTGATCTACAAATTGTTGTTGTCTGGGTATGAAATTATGTTATTATGTAAACGCATTAGATATATGCACCCACGACTCATGAGCAAATACTAGTGTGGGGAAAAGATTTTATTTTGAAAAAAAAAGAGGCTATTGCCAAACATTGATTGCGATTTTAAAATAATTTCTTACGATAAAATCTTCCAATTGTTTAATGGTAATCGTAATTAAAAACTTTCGGAAAACAAGGTAATCAATTTAGGGCTGAATTTTCAATAGTCAGTTAAATGTTATCTGAGGCATAAAGTTTTTGTTGTCACTGTCTTATACAAACACATTCTGACGGGACAGCAATTTAGCTATTCCCCAGAAAACTTTTATCTAACCATTGAAAAATTAGCCCTTAGTCAGTTTATTTAATTTATCGACAACTTGCTGAAAATATTTTGAACTCATGAAGGAGTAGGTATCTAATTATGCTCGTAAAATACCTAATCAATAATACATTACCGATCTAACGATCCATGTAATGCACCTCTTGACCCGGTTACTTTTGAAAACTAAAAGATAAGGAACTGTATTTGCAAAAGCAACCTTATACTATCGGCATAAGGTTGCATAAAGTTCAGAAATCGAGTAAATGTTTGTGTTTCTTTTTATTGCTTAGCAACGGCCTTTACTTCAATGAAGCGGTAGGTCGATGAACTTTGTGGTACTTAATAGACAGGAAAATTATTGGAAACTCGAGTTTTCCTGCAACTTTGTAATCGTAGGACTTTTTTTGCATGCGATTTTGAGTTTTATATTAACGAGTTATGAAGTATTTTGTATTAAAACTTAATGATGACTTTTCCTGAAAATTAAACCATGAAAGTACTTTTTAGTAGATATATACTCGTATTATATGTATTGTCTTACCTATTTCTTAAATATTCTTTGTACCGTTACATTGTTTTGAGTCACAAAATTGTATGTACCCTTTAATCACCGTAAAACTGGGTAAGGACAGATAAAACCAGTGAAGTACATTAAAAAGGGTTTTAAGGCTGTATTAATGGAATGACCGTCTCATTGGTGTGTCACAAATTCGACTGTTTTAATTTGAATCACTACGTATTTTTGTGTTTCAAAGAAAAATAATAAATAAATAAAAACTTTATTAATATATTTGGCTTGTCCAGGGTATCGAAAGAGGAGCAGAACAAGGCACGGGGAGGTTTTTAGCCAGTAAAAGTCTGACACTCTCTCTCGCCTTACTCTGGGCGGGAGAAGTCATTTGATGATTCTCCCCTGACAAAAAAAGTGTATGGGACAGACTCTGACTAAAAAACCCCATTTCTTCTCCTGCTCCAGGCCAAGGCCGTGGTACTGAGTAACCAAAAAACTTTAAGGACGTACTAATGGTAGCGAAGTGCGTCGGGCGTTCGTCGTACATTGCAGCAACTATTCGTGTTATCGCTCGTGTTAACACAAACATAACCAGCAATGTATGATGTCAGCCACACCTATCTCGATAAATGAAGCCTCACAGTTCACAGCATGAGCACGTGATTATTAATTTCCACAAATTAAAACCAAAACCCCTCGAATGTTCGATCCGCGTATTATTGCGTAATAATTAACATAACATTATTATCATAATATTCATATGCAAATATTAATAATACGCCACGCAGCGTATCCCTCGGGATATCGTAACGTTGGCAGCCGAGATAATTACGCCAATTAACGCTTATTACCTACGCCGCTGATTCCATTACCGAAGGGAAGTTTAAAGAACTATTTATAATTGGAATTCAATATTCTTTCGTTTTTTTGGGTTTGGTATTCCATCTCTCATTAGGATATTGGTTGGGAAGCATGTTTAATTAATTAAAACCTTGATATTTTGAGGTGCAATGACTCCCCGCAGCTTGCAAAAATTTAAATTTTAAGGCTTTTCTCCTATCATGTTTAAGAAATCAGTTGTATTATTAGGCTGTGATTAAGGTTAGCGTATTTCGAACACAGTAAATTCCCTTAAATACATTTAAATAAATAAGAAAATTGACTATTAATTGATTTGATTAATATTCTAAATCTCTTTATAACCGTTAGGTACATCCGTGCCATCTTCCTAGTAAAACAAAGATGAATTATTGTTGAAAACCTAATCGAACTTCGAACCACGACCACAAGTCACGAACGTATTAACGAAAATACTCGTACTAAAAAAAATGGCTACTTATTTTATTTTGCGCTTGCCAATTTTATGCTCTAGCGAAAGCAGTGCGTGAACTAAAAGCAGCTTACGTTAACAAGTGCCTATGTCCAAGTACCCTCTGCTTCAAAGTACACGCACACGGGGGTACGCGCCACGACAGGCGGATGTGACGGTGTTTACACTGAAGACACGGATAAATACAATGTTTTAGAGGAAATACAATTTTATACTGATCTTTTGGTAATCATGGAATGCAGTAATACTGGAATGTTTTCGAGACAAAGGCTTACTTTGATAATTAATTAAGTGTTTCTTTTATAATACAGTAAGTTGATTATTTATTCAATCCACTGCAACAACAAGCATAAATTCAATGCCACGGGCATTCTCGTTAGCTAAACTTTAACGGCCTTATTACAAAACAAGGTTTTACTTTAGTCTAGGACTAAACCATTGAGGTAGTTTTTGTATTTCGAATTGAAGGTAGATGACAATAAGATTCAAAATTCCAAACCCGACTCAATGGTTTAAACCTGGACTAAAGATAAATCTTGTTTTGTAATAAGGCCGTAAGTGATGCAGTGACAACATGGTCAGTTCAACAAAGAATAAAAATATATTTTTTAAATTAATATCAAATTGTCATATGAAAGAATTTAAAAAACAAGCTGGATAACAGTTACAGTTAGAATTAGTTTCGGCTTTTTTCCCCAGAGTACCTAAATATTGATTTTTTAACATATATTATTTCCGTGATTATTTCACAGACGCTAATGTTATAAAATTTTATTTTCGTGTGCTATAGTAACTATTTGACTTGGAGTAACTGAGAAAAGATCTACACAACGGGACATCTGTACATTCAGATGCGCGAAAAGAAGGTTTTATTACCTCCCTAACATTAGGGGAGACCGGGGATGGTTGGCTATAGGGGCAGGTAGACTAGGCGACAATAACGCGCCACCATCAGGTGATTTTTATCAACCAATTACGAACGACGATGCCTTCCCGCGGCCCGCTAACTCGTGTGGAGTGAGACGCCACAGTCGCGCAGTGTTCGTGAGTGGCATCACATGTTGTGTTTTTGGTCTCGGTAAGTAATGTTTTTGTTCGTATTGTTTTTTGTTATTGTGTCCATAGATCAGTTTGAACCAATTTTTTTGTTATGCCAAATGTAAATATGATAGCTTTATTCTATATCAAACAGTATTGCTTCCATCTTAGTGTCACAGTTTACATACAATATCGAGTTAAAATTCAAAATGGCGTCCGGGGTTGGTTGACAATTTTTCTTCGGGGTAGGTAGACTAATTAGTCAACCAACTTTAATTACTTATAAATAATTTTATACTTATTTTAAAGAAGTATGTGGGCTAACTTAGATCACCCCGACTCCACTTGCCTCAAATTTAACAAATTAAACAAATTTGTTTAATTTGTTATTCCTACCCGCGGAACCTGAAGACTCGCTTCGTCGGTCCTTCGCCATTCCCGGGGACGCGACCGAGTGCATCATTAATGTTAACACTATTATGGCTTCCCTTACATACTAATTCGTAGTTTTGTATTTTTTTTAGAGTAATGATGATCTTTCAGATGTAAGTGACGACGATGACGCAATTTGTCTGGAATGTACCGAATCCTATTCTGCCAGTAAACCTGGTGAAGAGTGGGTCCAGTGCATTACGTGTAAGTTATGGGCTCATTATAATTGTGCAAAAGGCAGTTTGCTAATGTATGAATGTAAAAATTGAAATTATGAGACTGATTGTTATAATTTCATAAATAAGATAGTTTTAAGAAAATAAGTTTTTGTTTTTATAAATAAAACATAAGATACACAAGTTTATGTATGTTGAATAATATTTTTATAATAGCAACGTGATCTTTATTACTAATTTATTCTTCTTCTTCTTAGTGATTTATTAGAATAATTCAAGTTGCAATTAAGATTCAAACAGAAAGTACAAAATGTTTGTTACTTATTGTCAAGTTAGATTTTTAATAGTTTAATAAGAGACTGTTACCTTTATGAAAGTTCTTTATTAAAGGAGAAGGATCTCAAATTTAATTTTGTTAATAATTAAATAAAAAGTTTCTATCATTTAGTATATTTTGATGTTTTATTTTATACTAATCCTCTTTATTCATACTAATTACTGCTTAGGTCAACCTACCCCATGCTAATGGCCAACCAGCCCCGGATATGGGGTAGGTTGACCAGCTGTCAGGGGTTTAGAAAATCAACTAAATAAGTATAATTACGAGAAATATATAGTTTATAGGTAAGTATTTTAGGTACCTGAATAGTTATTCTACCTGTATCAACTTTTGTTTTTTATAAATCAAGCTAAACATCGGAAATATTGAAGCTTAAGTAAAAAGTTGGTCAACCATCCCCGGTCTCCCCTACCTTCCACTAGAGACTACAAGATACATCAACACGCTTATTAATGAAAAACGTAGCTAAGTACAGTAAGTAAAATAAAACAGAATCAGCATAACATGGGGTGTCACGCGTGGATGCTCGCACCGCCAAGAGATTTTTATTTGACAAACTTTTTTCACAGCCACCCTGTCTGCCAACTAAGCACATAGGTACATCGGATACTCACGGCTCTTTAATTTGAAAAATATATTTTTTTGTTAAGATTTAATTGATTAAGCTTTGAGTATTTTAATAGAAGAAGGATTGATCTATACTTCTACACTAATATTAAAAAGAGGTAAAATTTGTAAGTTTGTATGTTTGTATGTAGTGGGTAAACTTTGAAGCCGCTGGTCGGATTGCCTCAATTATTTCACTGATAGATAGCTACAATGTTCCTGAGTGCTATAGGCTATCAAAAAATCACGCTACGATCAAATGCAGCCGAGCAGAGGGTGAAACCGCGTGAGCGGAGCTAGTAGTTAATAAAGTTTTTTTTTTTTAATTTTTATTCATGGTAAAACATTATGTTCTATGATACTCGTCCTTTTTTTCATTGTATATTTTTTTTCGTAATAAAATAAGCGATGGAATATATTGCGTACTTAAAAGCTTAAGGTACCCTTGGCAAGGCCTTATTTCAAGCGGAACAAACACGCAGGTTACAGTGTGAGAACGATAATTTGAAGAAGAAATTGTAACTTTGAATTTTTTTTAAACACATTTATGGTCTAAGTTTTTATAGTAAAGCTGTGTTATAAGAGATTTACTGGCAAATAGCTTTCACGTCATTTTAAGTCATTGGCTACGCAGTGCCATTGGAATTCCTCTAAAAATAAAATTTTGCTTATGAATGGTGTATTATTTTCGCATTAATGTCGTAGTACACTTTCGTATGACGTGGTGGGTTCAAAAAATGGTAAGGCCCAATGCCTCCCCCTCCCTCATCCTTGAATATCCGATCACGTCACATTTAGTCATTGGCGAAACAATGCCCTTTGAATTCGTTTAAAAATAAAATGTTTCTTATGATAATTATATTATTTTCGCATTAATGTGGGCAAAATACTTTCGTATGACGTGGTGGGTTCAAAACATGGTAAGACCCAATGACTCCCCCTCCCCCATCCTTAGTTATCCGAAACACTTAAAGCCTACCCTGGCCTCAAAAGGCCAAAAACACACTCGATACTCCTTTGGTGTTACGGGTGCCCATCGGCGGCGCTAATTGCTTTTTATCAGGTTACCCATACATCTGCTCGTTCACATAAGTAAATACTAATGGGACTTTTTTGAGTTATTTTGTTGTACTTTCTTAGTTTATTTATCATACCCCTGAGATTTGGTAAGGGACAACAGACGATTTCTGAAGTACAGGTGCTACGAGTGTCTATGGGCAGCGCTGAATGCTTACCATCAGGTAATCCAGCTGCTCGTTTGCAGCCGTATGACATAAAAAAATATCCCGACGAATTGAGAACCTCCTCCTTTTTTGAAGTCGGTTAAAAAACATTTTTGCCAAGGATGCTGAAAAATACCGAGAAAATCTAGATATTTTTTCTTGTCCGCCGCTCTAAGCATCAGTATGTCACATATTAGAGCAAATATCTAAACCTAGAGGCCGTGGCGAACGAGGTTTAACTCATTTCCCGTACGTTTCCAATATGTGGGGCCGCATAGAAAATCGAACAAATCTATCTTACTGAATAATGGGGATTATGTGGTAATACTGCGAAAATTTCAATATTAGACAGTTATAAGGGTAATAATTCTGTATGATAAGACTATTTTTTAAATGTGATACCTAGGTCGGCAATCTGGCAGACGGGTTACCTGCTGGAAAGCAATTATGGATAAATTATGCAATTATTATATTATATACCTATAAATATAAATACGCCACCAAAGGACACCCGCAAAAACAGTGGAGATTTTTTGTGAGGTGAAATTCCAAATGACTTCTCCAGCCCAGGGTCGGGCGGGAGGGAGTGTCAGACTCTTACTGACTTAAAAACTCCCGTTCCTTCTCCTGCTCTGGGCCGAGGAGTTACTAGTGCATTGTTGAACTTTTATAGGGATTAGGGATTTGGATGTTTAGGAACGTAAGGATTGTGCCTCCGGTAACCTCATTTATACGGCGAAACACAACGCTGTGATTGTATTACGCCGGTTTTCTATGAGGCGTGGTATCACTCCGCTCTTGCTGACCCATTCGTGCCGAAGTATGGCTCTCCCACACTTAAAACTACTTTTATAACTAGGTTTATTTACATTTCATTTTTCTTAGAATTTTCTACTAGAAAATATATTGGATTATTTTGGATTTCTTCTTTTCTTATTGTTCGTCGGATTTACCCTTTGAATGAAAATATTGATTCTGTAGGTCGGCAGCTGTTACTTTATATTCAGAACTGACATATATTGTTTGTTTACTATAATATGTATATTTATGTTATTTTTTCCCTTTTTCCAGTTGCTGAACACGTTGTCATCGGATTTGGAGGATATGCTAACTGAACTGTACGAGGAGAATATATCCAGGTGAGTGAGAATTACGTTAACTTTGTTATTTTAAAAAAGTCGTGGAGTAGTTCAAATTTGTTCTATGTGAAATTTTCAATAAAGTTATTTTTTTATGTGATAGGTCCGCAAACGAGCAGTCAGATTACCTGATGGTAGGCAATCAGCTCCTCCCATGGACACCCGCAACGGAGGAGTTACGAGTGCGTTGCCGACCTTTTAGGATTTAGGGATTTGGAGATTTAGGGATTGAGGAGGGATTGGGGGAGGGGAAAGATTGGGCCTCCGGTAACCTCACTCACACGGCGAAACACAACGCTGTGGTTGTTTCACGCCGGTTTTCTGTGAGGCCGTGGTATCACTCCGGTCGAGCCGACCCATTCGTGCCGAAGCAGGGCTTTCCCACACTTAGAAAAGTATTCTCATTCTTATCTTATATTTTATCAGTTCACCATAACTTGTAACAAATTTGTTGAGAATTCAATATTGAAAATTTCGTATTCTTAAACGTCGTACCTACGTTAAATTCAAGCTAATAAACATTTGTTTTCACTATTAATGGATTTTAAAAAGTATTTTTTTTGTTTACAATTCAAATGACCCACTTTTTTATCAATTTTATAACATTATGGCTATATATCCGCCATGACTGAGATTTTTTTTTAAATGAACTCATGTAAAACGTTTTTACTTGATATTTTTTAATCACAATGAAAATTATATAATGCACACACATTTTATTTGCTTTTTTTGTGAAGAAGTTTTTTTGTGGACATTTTAAGTCTTTCTTAGTAAAGAACAAGAAATTAACATTTACGAATCTTTTGTCACGTATGAGCATTCAAATCAAATCAAATCAAAATCATTTATTCCAACTAAACCATAAATAGGTACTTTTGAAACGTCAAAATAGATTAGTAGTCTGCCAGTCTGTTCGTCAGTGAAGCTAGGTGCTCGTTCCAAATTGTAGTTTCGAATGGAGAAGAACGAGCAAGAAACTCCATAATTTCTATTATAATTTAAGTTTGATATCGCCACAAACTTCAGGTTCTAGTGAGTGAGCCACGCCTGGCCCGACTGGAGTGATACAACGGGCTTTACAGAAAATCGGTGTGAAACCAGGTTTGCGTTCTGAAAGAGTTACCGGAGGCCCAATCCTATCCAAAATCTCCAACCTTCAAATCCCCCAATCCTTAAATTCCTTATTAAGTACCCAAAATGGTCGATAATGCACGTGCAACTCCTCTCCCGTAGCTGATTTCCTCCTTACCGTCCGATAGAAAAAAATAACCAAAAAAAATGACCACGTTAAGATAAAATTAAAATAAGATTATAATTTAATTATTGCTTAAGTAACTCAGTACTTATATAATAATATATAATACTAGCTACTCTCGCGCGGTTTCACCCGCTGCTCGGCTCCATTTAATCGTAGCGTGATGTTTTATAGCCTATAAGCACTCGGGAACATTGTAGCTATCTATCAGTGAAAGAATTTTGTAAATCCAACCATCGGTTCCAAAGATTACCCCCTACATACAAACTTACAAATTTTACCTCTTTATAATATTAGTATACCTAGATGACAAGAACCTTAGCCTCATCAGGCGTGGCTGGGTGTGCTAGCAATATATAATTATAATGTAGCATAAAAATGATTATGTATGTACGTATGTATCATTGCAGAAAGAAGGAATGTTGAAATTCATCAGCTTCACTACTTCTTACTAAACTAAAATAATCATACAATTTTTCACCAATTATCCAGTAGTAATTGCGAACACACTTCAAAATCCAATTAATAAATCTATCAGTGAGATAAAATACAAACAAAAAATAAGTGTTAAACATAAAAATGCTTTATCAAACGATTTTCGACCTTACGTGAAGTAAATAAGATTATAAAACGTTTTCGAGATCGTAATAAGTGTAGTGAAATCGTATTATGGGAACAGTGGCGCGCTTCGGCGGAGAATAAATTGAATTACATGCGGTCCTGACTTCGACTCTTGACTTGAGCGGTTCCTTTGATACTGAAACCCTTTTCAAATATTTATGAATACGTTAACATATACGTATTTTAGGGACGAACTTTTGCTTTTCACACCCTTTTCATTTAGCTTCAATGAAGGAAACTTAACTTTCCTTAAATATGATGAACTCGGTTCCGCCCGCAGCTTCGCCTGCGTTTATAAAAAACAGCTTTTGTCGTCGAGGTTGACCAGGTTGATCCAGGTTATCACCTATCTATATACCATACTTCAACCTAATCAATCAAGCCGTTTTTGCGTGGAACAATAACAAAGATACATTCATACATTCTTACGAAATTTCACATATTAATCGATTTTAACTGATTAAATCCAAAGTTGTATCTACTTTGAAAAGATAAGTTAATTTACAAAGAACTTAGCAAATATTTATCGACTTTCCGTTATTTAATTCAGATGTAATTTACATTACTTTATTTAACGTACGGCACAACCCTAGTCTAAGAAGAAAAAAAAGAAAAAATACACATACACAATTCATTTTTTAAATAATCGTTCGAAACGGCCAGTCCGCCAGACAGAATCAAACAGAGACCGCGTTGTTCCAAAATTAAATTAACAGTATGCTTTCAATTCCACGCACAGTTCAATCTAAAGCCCGGCTAGCTTTTCTTTTTTTTTCAAACCAGCCAATCCGTTGCGGTTTATTGTTTTACATACATTGGTTAGCCATTTACGACTGTGTGACGATTCAATAAAAGTTTCAATATACCTACGTAAAGAAAAACATATTGTAATAGAATTTATTTTTGAGAGAAACTAATTGAAATTTTTCATTGACTATTTTTCATTTTCGTAGCAATAATTTTAACAATCAACACACACGATCTCCCCTATCCAATGTATAGTATTGTTTAAAAGCGAGCCTGAAATATATTACTGGTATCAGTTTTAAAGCCAATAGCGTGCCTATAACAAATAAATCACAGAGAAACAAGATGAGGCTGGTATCGTAACGACTACAAATCATCGACCTGGTGCTGACGTTAACCGAGAGCAGAGCGAAAAATAAATAATATGATATAACAACGGTTTTTCGTAGGGCCGAAAAACTGTTGGGTATAAAAAACTAGGTAGGAACGCGTTGTATGTATAACAATATTGCGCTATCACGCGAGATGGATACTCATTCTTCGTAACTTAGATTCAACTTGTAAGAAATTTATTCAGAACTAGCTTATGTTAATAAAAAGCCTATGTGTTAATACTGGGTGTCGACTATCTACGTACCAAATTTCAACTAAATTGCTGCAGCCGTTTTGCGTGTAAGAATAACAAACATACATCTATACATAAACTTTCACATTTATAATATTTGTAGGATCATTGATATGGACAATAACATCGATGCTTCGATGTGTTGTGCATGTTAGCCTTAAGATTGATTATAATAATATGATTCTCATTTTCTTAAGACAAAAAATCTAGTTAAATTCTGTTTAACTGTAGTTACAAACATATTATGACACCTTACTCTTGGAATGCAAACGGATCTGAATAACCTTCTTTAGATTCGTTGGCCAGCGTTGGCGTCGTGATTTAGACTGGTACACCTTATATGGTATGCAAGAGAAATGTAAACAGTTCAAAAGTTTTATTCAATATCATTCTCTTTCACGACAAGTATTTTATTATGCTACACTTCTTACTGCCAAAGATTTAAGTGTGAAACCGCATATTTCACGCGCAACATACCGTAGGCACCTCAAGGGATACACATAAAATCCGCCCAATACGCAGATTTACCATATAAAAATCCACGATAGTCGTCCCAGCATCATCACATTATGCAACCGGTGTAAGACTATCATAAACGTATATTACACGCGGTGTTGTGCAGGAAGCATAAGTCGCTTGGAATTTCCCTTGTATTTTATTCCACAAAAAATTTACTTCAACAAAAAAATATTAATAATTGCTTGACTATAAAACCTTCCCCTTATTCCGAGATTAAAATAAACCCTTAAGTGGGAAAGTAATTCATTATAACATTGTAACATTTGTTTAGGATGGTACAAATACAGTGGGATTCATAATATTTGGTTTTATATAATGAAGCCTTGGAAAGCTACCGAACTCATTTGAACATTCAAAAGTGTCTTGTATGTAGATTCGGATAGATGAAAATATGAAACGTCAAAAACAACAAAACGTGCCCAAACCAGAAGCCCAAAGTTACGGACAAAGCATTATGAATAATGAAACACCCTCTGTACAAAGGCTCGGAGTAGGCACTACCTCTGGATATAACCACAAAACTGGGAATTTTGCGGTGGGGTGTCGCAAGGAGAAAAAACTGGAGCGCAAAGTGTTTTTTACGGCTTTAATACGAGTTTATTAAAATATTTAAAGCGAAACTTTAGCGAGAATTTCCCCGAAGACATCTCAAAAAGGTCCCCCGTCGTACCGATATGAAACTTTCAGGCTAGGTGTTGGAATGATAAATTAAAACGAGGAGAAAGAGCGTCGACATGTGTTAGTGTAATGAGATTTTTTCGCTCCGCCTCATAAATTATTGAAAAGTGATATCTTCTTCTCATTGGTGGCGAGGGAGGATGTTCATTTATCAAATCTAGTTACTTTTACTACTGTAATTGAATAATGAATTCAAGGTTATTTTCTAATTAAAGAATTTAACACCGTCTGCAGACAATCCAAAGATTTTTGCACTTCCAATAGGGAAAACATTTAAAATCGTAAATATAAGACAGCAGCATTCACAAGGCGAAATATCCCGTTTCGGCTATTCACATTCAGTTTTATTGACGGAAAATTAAATTTCAGAAATACTTTTCCAAAAATTGGTACGTATTCAAAGCGTCCCTTTTCGAAGAACAATGGAGCCCGATTGGTGTTCGCGCGAAATTGTCTAGGGCCCCTAAATGGACTATTAGGCACAGACCTCGTCTGATTTTGGTGCGCTTGCAGAGAGGAACTGTGATTTAAGGAAGGGGACTAAACGAAGGGAGGGTGCATAGGTAGGGCAGATAGAATACAAGTCATATCCATGTGTGATTTTTCAATATAAAACCTCATTTTATATTTTAATATACCTAAGTGCAATCGAAAAACAGTCTTAAATTTTTTATGTGACTTGTAACTTA